CGAGTACGAGCGCCCTAACCACCTGACCATGCCAGGTTTCTATAATGTTGATGACTCCCCCATAATATTATTAGAGCTCTCGTGCTACTAATGAAACATGAAGGCTGTTCATTGAAGATATTCAACTTTACGCTTCTGAAATAAAGTGCAAAACTAAAGATCCATTTTCAAAATGTCCTGTTCCTTACTTGTTTTACTAAGACTGTTATATGAAAATAAATTCGCTATAACTGGAAATTATTCTGTTAAAAAGTTTGAAGCATAATGTTTGTTTTTATTAAGGACAAAGCTTCACAATAACCTATTTGCGCTGTGCCCACCGAAAGTATCGAAATTCCGTTTTTAGTGTTAAAAGTCCTCAGACTTACTGATGGGTCACCAAGGGTGGGGACTTGAAGAATAATGATAGAAATGATTTAAATACTATCTTTCCTGCACATGCCTGTAAAAGATCAGATTTGTATCTCACAAAGCTGATTATTAATATACTTGTAAAGTTGTTCATAAGACAAGAAGAGTTTAGAGTATTGGTACTCGAGAACTGATCATTTGTAACGACAGAAGTTTTGTTCCTAGTAAATTAACTCGACATATATCCTCAGATGTGCGGCTTTAATCAGAATGTCACATGCATTTAAGCTACAGAATACATCATATCAAATATGTTTAGCTAACTTTTTATCAAACTATAGAACATCTGAAATGTCTCTCTCAAAAAAAAGAAAGAAAAAGAATTCGATTCGTGTGATTAATAATACTGCATACATAGCTTCGTGAACCGTCCATTAGTGTTCGACACCGAACTCTGCATTAATAGGAGTTCGAACTATATGATCTGAATATCCTCTGAAGAACTTAATCTTAACGCACTATTTTTGTTTCCTTCTGTAAGGTGACATTTCAGTCGTATTTGAAGTAGTAGAAGAGACGTGACAACACAGACTTCGTTCTGCTACCCTTTGGTTCTGTTCCTGATGGTGGTAGGAGTTTCACGCATTCCTTATTCTGGGGTCCATAACCGGTACAGATGACATCAGGAAGGTGACACACAGCAATTCTCAAGAGTTCCTGAAGAAACTTAACAGCTTCTTCTCCACATTGGTCTTCAACTGTTTTACCGACACACTCCAGGTACCGTTGGTATGTACTATAATTTAAATTTATTAATATTTTTACATTATCTACAGTACAGATATATTCCGAAGTTAAGCTATAGTAATAACAAAACAAATATTTCCTATTTCTTGATCTTAACAAGCAAGGAACATTTTCATACCGTCTACCGGCCCGGCATGGCCAGGTGGTTAGGGTACTCGACTCACAATCTGCAGGTCACGGGTTCGAATCCCCGTCACACCGGTGTACAGACTAGGACGCTAGTCCTACTCCCGGATGCGAAACTACTATACCTTCTATTCATGAGTTTAGAAATATTGTATGGGTTTCTTCCATTTTAGCAAACATATTGCAGCAAAACTAGAAATTTTGGGTTTCATCTACTTTTATCGAAAGTATACCCCCCAGTAGCACAGTGGCATGTCTTCGGACTTACAACGCTAAAAACTGGTCCTTTTTGTAGCTTTGTGCTTAATTACAAACAGACAGTATCGAAAGTATTTCTAAAATCTTTTTTTTTTAATTACGGAATTAAATACTTCGTTAATAAGACCAGTTTGCGACGAATCGATCTAGTTTGAATTATACTTAATAGTTTGTTTCATTACCCGTAAGCCTATAAATTAAAGTTAATTTTGCTATCAAGATATTTTAGCTTCTACATTGATTCCAATTAGCCTTTTTTTTTATTAGTCCCAAGGCCTCTTACAGCCGTAAGGGCACCTTAGATACTGATGCATCAATGGTGATTTTCGAGCAGATTTTACTTGGTGGCGCCACCTCTTTTTTAAGTAGCCGTCCATAATTTAGCAGTGAAAGATTAGAGGGAAGGCAGCTAGCCAAAACAACCCACCGCCAGCACGTGGGCTACTTTAATCGAATAGTGGGACTTGACCATTATTCTTATAATGCACCCATAGCCCCAAAGTGCAGAGCGCGATTTGTTTTTCAGTGGTAACGGGACGTGAAGCATAGAACCTCCGATCTCAAGTCCGGAAGGTTGAAACAATATATAGGTTAACTTTAACTTCTTTAGAAAAATACATTACATATTACTGTGCTTACTTACAAGTACAAGAAAATATTAGCACTAACAGTTGTTTTTATTATAGATATTATTTTTCGCGTTCTTGTGGTAAACAGTAAACTCACCAGCAAGTTGTCGGAACACGTTTGTCAAAGGTAGCTACCCCGATCGTATCTAATCCAACCTGTAAGTCATTTAAACAGAGACTGAGATTTTTCGTAGCTTCATTGAGACAAGACGATTTCTCAAGATATCCTGAAAAAAAAAAAACAACTTTCGTAACAGAATACATTTGTTCTAGAAATAATTAAAAGTTAAACTGAACTACTCAAATAAACAAGATAGTTTCCATCTTGATAACTGACTTCATACAATGGTATCTAGCAGTAATTTATTAGAAACTGTAAATATGCCTACGTATTAAGAAAGGCAGAAAAAACCAAAACGCTTACTTCTTCTGATATCGGTTCCGTTAGAACAGTATTCTTTGACCAGTAGATCCGTTCCTTCACCAACAAAATCCAGTAGATCTCTTTGGACAGATGTCATGCAGAGTTGTGTATAATTCTTAAGGCACTGCTGGGTCTCCTGAATGAATCTAAACAGAGCAAAAAATAGTATACTTCAATATCAAGTATTAAAAACATTTGTTTTTTAACTTCGAATTCTTCTTTTTTCATGTTACAACATACTCCGAACTCTGAGTGCCAAATGTGTAGGTAAATATAATAATAGTCCTTATGACGAAACGTCTATGATATACAGAACCTTCGAGGTTGATAAGTATTTGTGGATGATAATTTACAACGATAGGAATAAAGACCTGGTACAAAAGCAATTTCATTGGTTTTCTCAATTTTCTATTTTTTACACGAGGACAATTTCATACCTTAAGTTGATAACTTTTATTTTGTATCCATGAATGGAACAATATATTTTCTTAAACACTTTTTGTAGAATGAATCATTCGTAACTGTTGAATTAGTTAATGAGGAGTGTTCGTAATAACACAGTTTCTGACTTTTCAATAGAGTACGAGCAACAAACGTATACCAATACTTGTTACAAACAGAAGTTAAATGCAGATGTTTTTTCTCACATTCCTCTTTGTTCATTGCGGTTCCAAGTAAAAGGTGTGTAAAAAATACCATTTCAGATCTTGTTTTTGGTATCCCACAAGCCATTGCCCTGTAAGCTTTTTGTTCAATACCAGGATTCATCATTTGAGCTGGATGCTGAGAAACAAAAGATTATTCTTTTTTTTTTTAATTGGTGTGGCAGCAGAGGGTTGCGCCCTCTCTTCGGCTAGGACACTATTGATAGTTGGATATATGGATGGGCAGGTTGAAAAAGTATTCAACCGGTGTAGGAGGGATGAGACTGGAGAGTGAAAACTGTAATTATTTAAGATGTACAGATGTGAGGTAGCAGAAATGACACCAGTGCAGCAGTAAAATTAGGATCATCCACTGGAAGAGACATCCGATAAATGTTAAGAAGTTGTTCAGCAGATGGAATAAGCTTTCAGGGTGGATTTACAAACAAACCCAGTAAGTCTGCAATGATATTATTGTAATGAAACTTAGGTGTTTTTATTTTTTGACGAAGTTTGTGGAGGTGTGAAATTATTGGAAAGATAATACATACATATAGTTATTTGGTGGGATTGGGAAGACGAATTCATAAAGCTAATCTGACAATCATAATATGTAGCAGAAGCTGATACCCATGCAGTATTACCACAGGTCAGATGTACTTAAACAAATGACTTATAGGTATAGAATAGAGTAAAAGAAGAAACAAAAATATCTATAGTTAACTTATTTTATAACTATTTTTAGGCCTATTGGTATTCCAATATTTCGGGGTTTAAACCGTAACGTTTAATGTACACTAATACTATTAAGGATTTGAGTAACTACATACAAATTCTTTAGTTTGACATCATGGCCTATGGACAGTAAGGAAATGACAACGAAGGGGGGGGGGAGAAAAGACATGACTTTTTCCATAGATCCGTGAGCTTCATCATACCAGTTCATTAAAATGCAAACGTCGTGTTCCAAATCCAGTTGCGCACAGTAGCTTTAAGAACGTTATTTGTTAGAAACTTTTGTTCACGTAAATAATTGTTGAAATAAAGAAGACATAGAACACAAGGTCACGAGTATCCATCCGAATGTCTCACTTGTAGTCGTTACACTACGAGAAATACGGAACTAGTACTACCATGTTGCAGGATAACATTTAATACCGTCAAAAATATTAATAAGGTCTCTTCTCATCGGTTGTAATTTACTGAAATAAAGTATTTAAAGAGCAAAAACTTCGTTTCGTTTTCAAAAACCTTCGTAATTTAATAGTTTAATTCTAAGTATTGAAAAAATTAAACAAGTCAGAAAGTCAAATTGTTTATAATGAACAATCTAGTTACAACAAAACAATATAAAATGAACTATCTGTCAGTGTAACTGATAAATATTTGTCTTAAGTGATACCGTTTCTTAAATTTGACACACACACATCTCCCAGTGCAACTTTGATAGCTTTAAGTTGAAAAAAGGAAGTTACAATTACGTATAGAATCGAAAGTTATTATATAATGAATTATTAAATTATTTTAGACTAGACGAAAGGTAAGTAAGGTACTCAAAATTATGTTTTGCATAGTTTCACTCGATTAAGTATTCTTTTTGCTCCATGTTAAGAACTAATTTTATTAAACTATAACCCACAAGGATCTCATGAAATTGATCATACTAATTTCCTCAATTTGTATGGAATGAGATGCAGTTTTAATTACTAGTACCTACTATAAAGTTCGTGCTGTTGGCTCAAACATCATAACTGTTTAGACTACGAGATCTGATTACCAACATTTGTTATAGATTTAGGTAATCTTTATCCCTAGTCAAAATATATTACAGTCTTACTTTTGATCAGAATGTTTAAATTTATTCTTAGTGTTAAAAGTACAAGATTTCAAATGAGGACCAAATTTATGTGCAAATAAATGTGTGAAAACTAGATTTTTATGTAGATATTTGATCTGTCACATGTTACCGCCCAGAAGAATTATACCCCCTTGAATCTTCTAGAGTTTTATTATTAATATTTTAGTTTGGAAAATCCCATTCCTAGTTTCATAAATTACCCTATTACTTACGAACATTGTCTGTTAAGTTCGTTTTCGGTCTCAGCAAATCCTTCCTTCTGGCTGAAGAACAAGGTAGCAACACAGATGTCCAGTTCATTCAAGTGACAACTCAGCGCGTGGAGACGGTACGGTGCTACTTTCAAATAATTCAATAGTAAGTTCAATAACATACTTTGTAAGTACCTTTATTTTCTATGATTTTTTTTAAAGTGAACTAGCTTATTGATTCGTCACTTTTTTATGAATAATGAGCAGGTTGATTTAAGAAAATAGTAATTAATAGGCATTAAAATAGATAGATAATATGTGTTAAAATCCCCAACCTTATTTTGTCATATAAATAAAACTGATAACAAATTACACTCCACCAACTTAATACAGTTTACATAGTAACAGGTGTTTTCAAGCACTTGCAGATTTTAATAGCCTCTCAAACACTATTTTGTGTTTGAAGTTAAGCGCAAAGCTACACAATAGGTTATGTGTGCTGAGGTCATCACGGGTATCAAAACCTGGTTTTAGCGTTATAAGCCTTCAAACTTAGCGATGTGCCACTGAGGGTCTCAACCACTATTATGTCTGCTGTATCCCGGCCGGCCTCTCGAGGCCTAGTTTGTTTGTTTGTTTTGAATTTCGCGCAAAGCTACACGAGGGCTATCTGCGCTAGCCGTCCCTAATTTAGCAGTGTAAGACTAGAGGGAAGGCAGCTACTCATAACCACCCACCGCCAACTCTTGGGCTACTTATTTACCAACAAATAGTGGGATTGACCGTCACATTATAACGCCCCACGGCTGAAAGGGCGAGTATGTTTGGTGTGACTGGGATTCAAACCCGCGACCCGCAGATTGAGAGTCTAGTACCCTAACCACCTGGCCATGCCGGGCCACGAGGCCTAGTATTAGCGTGGTTAACATATTATTGCACACTCTTAATTATTATTACAGAATTAAAAAAAAAATTCAATTTTATAGACAAGTAGGGATCGATATATAAAGGACCCCAGCTAGCTATAGTAATATAGAACGTTTTAATGCTACAAAATGTATCGAAACAAGAAAGTCAAAACTACAAAACTGAGTTACTAAAAATTAAAAAAAAAAAAATCCCTACTTTGGCATATCACTGCAATTATGTTAGTCTGGGCCAAGCCGCCTTGGAATTGCAACGGGCATGAAGGTTTCACAATAACTTTAGTTAAATCCCTCAACCAATTACATTTGTAGTACATTCCATTTATTTGGAATATTAAAAGCAACACAGCATCGCATTTCCGTATTTGCAATAGATTTTCTTTGTAGCGAAATTACCATATATTTACACAAGTACTCTAATAAAGTGCACATTACAGAATTAGCTCAAGTTACATTACAATATCTATATATCATTTTTCATACGTAATGTCACAAACTAAGATATCTAATTAGTTGGCAAATGTGTTTACACATTTGGAAGTTTGTGAAGCAGCACAGTATACAACTTGGGTGTTGTACAAACATTTTAATACTCCATGTAATTTGAAATTACTGATATTTACATAAAATTAACTTGGTTTTTTTCACTTTTTCACCTGCAACTTTTTACAATGCTGTTTAGTAAGGTGATGCATTCGTATTAAACACTTTTTGAACTGTAAAAACATAGTTACCCTTTGGTGTATAGTCAAACACGTGTCCATCTAAACCTAAGAAAACTATACTCAAAACTACTTTTTTTTCAAAGCTAATTGTAGTTGCTTGAGGTAGTTCTGCTCCCCCAGTGGCACAGCGGCATGTCTGCGGACTTATAACGATGGAAACCGGGTTTCGATATCTGTGGTGTGAAGAGCACAGATAGCCTATCGTGTAGCTTTGTGCTAAACTACAAACAAACGTCACTGAGGTAGTTCTTCATTTGTAGACATCAGGAGTCTCTCAAAACTACTTTCTGTTGCCTGACATACTTTAATTATATTTGCTGACGTCTTTACTAGACCACTTTTGTTTTTCTTTGTTGCAAAAGTGATCTATGAAAGCATCCAAACAATAAATACATTCATTTTTTATGCCCTTTTGACTACACAACCAGCTATTTATCCTACTACTGCCTCTTTTTAAAGAACGATGTGCGCAGTTTGGCGTATCTTGATAAACATGGTAGGGTTCTGCCATAAGGGGCGGGGAGTGTTAACCTCTTCCACATATTTTATAGCAGATTGTGTAGGTAGCTGACACATCCAAGAGGTAACAATTTTGTTTTTGCCTAATTCTGTGTTGTTGGTGCATACAGCTTTATTGTTAGTTATGATTACAAGCTAGCAAGAGAGAAACCAGTCCTCCCCCCCCTCCTTTCTTGTAACTTGTAATAACTGTAATTATTCCAATGTCATCAGTAATAACCAACGAGAGATCATTCCGTATTACACTCCCGGCATGAAATATTTCACATTCAAATTAGCACGCTTGGCAGGCGACCAGAGAGTTGAAGGAATATTATTTGGGAGGTAGATTTAAAAAAAGAACCAAACACGACGGTAAAAAAAAAAATCATATAAATCGGTTTACTTCTATGAGTTTGACTTTATCAAATACGTGTTCTGGTATTTCTATGTATTAACACTTCTGCAGGTTGTTAAACTTCTGTTTTCTAGGGCCTAATGGCAGTATTTCATTATAATACAAGTATCCCCAAATACTACTTAGTATTATACTTTTCGAACTAACTAAGAGTTTCACGATTATCATAAAATAAATGTTTTTACTATATGATTGAATATTCCCGACAATTACATAATTTGAATCTTAAAAAAGTTTAAAAATCTACTCGACTTTTTTTTAGAAATGTCCTTAAAAGTTTAATTTTGTGATGTCATACTTAAAAATAGTTTTAAGCTTCCAGTGACAGGAAAAAAAAACACCCAGAAATAAAGATCTGAAGGAATTTTGTACATTTACCTTGCTTGGTCCCAACATACAACATGCTTTGAGAGGTGCGGTTTTTCCCTGACTCCTTTTATTTAGATTCTTCACTGTAAGATTTGTTCGGAAAAGTTCATTATACTCAAGTTGCAGATTACTGAATGACATCCAGTTAGCTTCTTTGGAAACATTTCCTCTAGATGAGTAAGCATTCTGGGTCTTGAAAATCATTTTATCATCTTCTCCGGTAAAATTGCGTTTAGATATCTTAACTTAAATGCGGCGCCACCATCAAAAATCATTTCTATTAGTTAGGGGCTTTAGTGACATACATTTTGATTGCTTTGTCATCCCTGAAGTTTCTCATAAAGATTTTCTTTTTATTATAGTGTATTTTATTATACATTCGGTCTGAAGCATGACGAATGCGTTTACTGTATTATAAAAAAAATAATTTACTCATCATCCCTTTGCATGCAATTACGTCATCACTCGAACTGTCTCGAAGTTATAATGGGCCGTCTGCTGAGCAATTAATGATTATTTCTGGATCCACCCCTGAATCCAGGTGTTCCTGTATTGGATCAGATACTTCAAGGTCGTACCTACGTATCAGACATGTCTAACACATCTGTATAACCACTAGGGAGTGCCATGTAGTATTTTTTAAAAATACATGTAAAAATTGATGTTTCATCTCGGACAGTGAAGTTTCCAGTGAAGTTGATAAACCATTTAAAAATTTCTAAAGGGGTATCAGAAAAGTTGCAGTTCAGCACATCAAATTAAATTAATATATAGTAATTTTTTTAAGAGCCTGCACAATTACCTTTAATGAACTAGCAGTTCGTTTCAAATTCCCGTTCTTTTGTGGTGCAAACAATCTGTTTTGTCAACGGTTTTGTCCATTTTTTCTTTTTACTGTTGCAAAAGTATCATTCACATGGTAACAGTGATCTAAAAGTACACATCTTTATCGTTGCTCTGTACACTAGTTGTACTTGAGGTAATCGGATCTGGAGCAACATTGTCTTAAGTCATAATTATATTATACCTTTTGTAAGTGTTCAAAGTCATAATGATACTATACCTTTTGTAAATGTTCAAGAAATGAAAATATTTTATTTTGACCTGTTTTTCTTCAAAATGGAAACTTTTATTGGATACTATTTGTCTCTCCAAATAATAACAATATTTTTTATTCAGTTCATGGAAACCTGTATGGAACTTGAAAATGCGTGAATATGGATTTAGTTGACAACTATCATATCATAAAAAAAACTAAAAGAAACTCCAAGCTTAAAAACAAAAGTTATGAGTGCAAAAAGGAAAAAAACAAAAACAAAAAACACGAAAAACTTGAACCTAGCAGTGAAATGACACAAGACCGGCTCTTGGCCTATCGTTACAATTCCATGCAACATACATTAGCATTTTTACATGAGATACAGGGCACATCTTGAAAACTCTACACTACGTCTTAACAACTGCAAATACGAGAAGGGATCAACAATATGGCGACTTTGTAACTTATAGTGACTTCACGTGAAAGGGTCAATGTTTAATTCATTTCATTACTGAGATCAATGACTTTGACCTGACCCAAGCAAGAGACTGGTTTGAACGAAACAAAGGAGAGTGACGAACACGTAAGGCTGCAGACTTTTTATCGCATTCTGCTTTAGTTAATCTATTATAATGTCTGTAAGAATATAAATCTGAAATTAAAAGTGAATTCCACTCAATTCTATGTAACTACATAAATTGTTTCATTTTGTTTCGAACTTCAGGGGTATCTATTATTAACCTGTTTCAGCGATTTTAGTTTTTAAAAAAATCATGATTTGAGCTATGAAGTAGGTCCATTACTTTTTTTGTTAGGACTAGCTGTTTTATTCAATTGTGATTTAAATACAATTGTTAAAATAACGATTTTATGTTAGTTAGGCTTAAATAACAGGATAACGTAATACTGTTAAGTTTATCAATGCAAATTAAAATAGTTAATGCCATGGTATTGAGGAATGGATACATCAAACACAACGTAAATTTAATCTTATTTAGCTCAAAAAAGATAATATTTTAGTGAAAGTTTTGCTTCAAAAACCTTGTCAGATGAAACTATGCCAAAACAAGTTATTATCTTGTAGTCGCAATATAACTTAGATTTTGACAGTTGATAAATGTTTTAATAAATTGTGTTATTTTTATTTGAACAGTATATAGCATTATGTACTACGATAGTTATTTTATTTTACCAAAACTGCCTTGAATTATTATTCATAAAATCGACATACGTTTATAAAAATAGATTAATATTTAGGTACATTTGTTCTCTCTACTCTTCCAGCGTTTATCTATATCATTATACTATATATCTTTCGTATTTTGATTATACTTTCAAGTTTTATGTACAGCCTAATAAGTATAAAGAGAAAAGTTGACTTTCATATCAACAACTACAAAAATTACAAAGAATGGTTATGGTTAGAACTTACCAGCTATCAATATTATTTCCAAGATGTACAGACTAATGGTCATGACAAACTATTTGTAAAGTGTCAAAAATCACTCTGACATCGAAGTAGTTTTGTAGATGCTGGTAACACTAGACTAACTTCTATAAGTATAACTAAGCGCTATTTATGTCTCGACAACAAAACTGGTTTCTTCACTTACAGCGTCACTCACGATACGACTAGGCTCATTTTAAATAAGTTTAATATTATGTCTGAGTAAAATTCGCTTCTAGAAAAGTCTGTTATTTGCAGACAATAGACATATTTTTCACCTTATCTTCCCGAATAACATTATTAATGCAAGGTCTTGATGGCACTTAATTGACATGGGGAAACTTTAGTTTTTTCTCCGTAATTACTACTAGAAGCTTGTTGTATCAATGCCAAAGCTTCAAGGACCACTTCTTTTAGTCAACAACTGTGTATGAAAATGTTTTCTTGAAATTAATTATTCAAATTTTTCTTGTTATAGTAAGTATAGGATTTTATAAAATAGCATGTTTAAAATAAATTATGGATGTTAATATCGCCATGTTTTGAGGTTAAAACTGTAAACCGTTAGTTCTGAGAACTAGTGTTTCTCTTAACTGAGATGCAAAATACAGGCCGTAAAAATTGCAATGCAACATACATCTGGATGGGTGTTGACTATTTGAAGCGCGATTTTTTAAAGTCAGTTATTTATAGTAACGTATCTTTTATATTACTAATCGTGAAATTGATTTTAATTACATAATAGTTTAAAACTAATTATATAAGAGTCGTTTTTCTCAAGTGTTTTCTAAATTATACTGAATTTATATTTTTATGGATCACCTCAAACAATTAATAATAACAATAATATTAACTTCCCATAAGAGCAAATTTTCTATCTAGAGCGAAAGTAAAAATCAACCTGTAGTATTATAGCAACCCTGCTCAGATGGTTAATCCTGTGGCCTGGTTGTTTAGTAGCTTTACCTGGGTGGCCGCTATTAAAATAATATTTGGAATCTCTCGTGTTGTGATGATATCTTCTTAAAAAGGAAACACTTATAACAAATCGAAATATAACAGCTACTTTGAGAAATAATTCACTACCTCAAAGAGGCCTGGCATGGTCTAGTGGTTAGGGCGCTGACATCGACGGATCACAAGTTCAAGTCCTTTTACCTAAGATATTAGCTTCTTTTTTTTCAGCCGTAGGAATGTTATAATGCGATAGTCAATCTCACTTTTCGTTGGTAAAAGAACAGTCCAAGAGCTGGCGAGGGATGATGTTGACTAGCTTCCTTCCCTCTAGTTTATGGCTTCTAAATTAGGGACAGCTAACGCAAATAGCCCTCGAATAGCTTTGCGCGAAATTAAAACAAACTGCCTTTATCACTTCTGCTGCTCGGACTTAGTACACTTCACAAACATTTCCTAATACTAACCTTTCACAGATACGAACTTTAAATTGTCCTTTTACTCTTTCACTGTTTTTCCTTCATACATGCTGTTGTTACTCTCGGTTTCGCTCATCTTTTCCAATAACATCACTTTCTTCTTTCTATTTCTGTAGCACTTCTACTGATAGAATTGTTTACTATATTTCAAAGTATTCCTTATTATCACACCTCACGATAACTTCACTTTGAAACCTTCCCACGTTAAAGAAAATTAAGCCATGATCTAAAAAACAAGGTTAAGTAAAGGTTCATAAGTATTAGTCAGCCACGAAGTACATAGCTTGTTAGGGTTAATTGTCAGTACTTATCCAATTACTATCCTTCTTTATTGAAGGATGACAGTATTGTACTGTTTTTGTTAAATCAATCAACGTACATTGATCGGTTGTCACAGTCGGGAAAGTACATTTAATGCTGAAACACATTAATGAGTTGGAAAACAACATCTGTACTTTAGGTCATACAGCAAAAGATAGATTAACGAAGTATTGAGGTTGTGTTATGAGGAAATAACTTGAATAATAAATACAGAAGTGGTGTTTAGTCAAGACTCAAGTGGATGGCAGACTAAATACTGGAAGGTTGAGATTGTTATATGATTCTACTGGGATAAGTACCACCCAATAATCGCCATGAGCTTTGTCCATATCCATGAGAGAACCAGCCTAAACTGGTGGAATTAAAACTAGATAGTTTGTAATAACCAGATAAAAATATAGTTTAGAAAGGCCATGATATATATGGTGTCACAACACCAAGATAGAAGCCATTAGCAGCAATTAGTTAGGAATTAGCTTAACACTCGTTCTAGAACTTGCCGCTCTTTTAACCGCCAAAATGAAACGAGGTTAAGTCCTTCCTTAATCTAACTATAGTTTAAATCTTGAAGGGTAAATAACAAAGTATAAGAAACTAGGTACTTCAAGTAACAAGCTGATTAAATATATATTTGAAAGCAGCGATAATGGACTAATTAGAAAGAAACTTTCTAACTTGCAAATAATACACTGATCAGAAAATATTTAACGAGATCGAACAGTGATTTTTGTAATTATTATTATTTTTTCGATGTTAATGAATTCTGTTTTTAACTCCTTGGTTCTCATATGAATTTCTTCGAGTTGGCGAGCTGTTTGAATTTGTCATCGGCTGTGTATTTCTTGTATTTTACACAAATACTATTTGTTACAGGTTGTCAACTAAGCGGGACAGTTTGAGCAACAACATGTTGCACTTTCAGCTACATCTCGTCAACTCTGACTTCTCTATGTCACTAAACTTCTGTCACATCATTGACTAACCCAACTGCTTGAACGTCCAGATTTCACTGGTTCGCTGTTTAATTAATTGCTATTGAAGGAATCTGCCGTCGACTGAATTTTTCTTGTTTCTCTGATGAGACTACTCTTCTTTTAACTAATTCATGACAGCTACCACCAAACACTTGAAGAGCTGTGAACAAGAAACATCACCGTCTGTACAACATGTCTCTTCAAAGCATATTGACTACAAGTTGTTTTTAAGAATAACACTTTTCTAGCAGTTACTCTATCTTAAGAAACAATTCCTCTTACAAGCCCGGATTAATCAATATTTTTGAGATACGTGATATTTTGATTGATCTAAATTCTTTGCCATGTACGTTTAACGTTAATACATCTATGCCTGAAAAGTGAAGTTGACATAACTGCAGGTATATTACAAAGATTGCTTTAACAGATAGTTTTATCGGTGTATTCCTAATGGTGTCAGATAATCTTTCTTAACTAAATCGATTCAAAATTACAAATTTAAAAACAATATTTTTTCTATTTTTTTACGAAGCAAATAGGTTATTGCGCGTGTTCTAATAAATAATACATAATAAACAGTTAATTGTTTTTCAACTTTTAGACTCTTTAAGTCTGAATTTAGACGCTTCCTGTAGATCTTTCTGTTTGCTCACTTCTCTATATGTTTCATTCAAAGGGAACAAGATATTACATGGAAGCTTTTTTTCTTCTAGGTTATAAACAAGAATAATGAGTTTTTAATTGAATATTGTAACGATTCTTTTCCGGACATTTTTTGATTCACGTTTAAGTAAGAAAAAGACTTTTCGTTTTCCGTTATTACAAATTTTTCTTATTCATGTATCAATTATGAAACGACAAATACGATTATTTTCAATATGACATAATAGTACGTCATACAAAATAAACATACATATATATATACATATATCCATGTCAGACTTAAAATATATGTAAATTGATTAAATTGATACTTATTACTTTCTGCACCTAAGAAATTGAAACTGCCACAAGCAACCTTAAAGCTATTACTACAGTGTTATCTTCCTCCTATTTTGATTAACATTTGCCAAGAACTACATGTTATCTCTTATCATCAGTATATTTCAACTTATATATTTTGTCAACCTTGAAACAATAAATTTTCTACCATACAAGATATAATAGATTTTTGCCTTATGGATTATGCCAAATATTTTCCAATTACAAAACAAGCAGGCACTGGGCGTGGATTAATGGTTAGCGTGCTGGACTGAGAATCATGGGCCGCATTCGTTTGCCAGAAAAATAGAGTTTCGCTGTTTGGGGCAGTTGATGCGTTATATGAATGGTGATCAAATCACACTACTCAAATAGAATAATTAAAGGGATAGGCGATATTGCTTAGCTGCCTTCCCTTTAGTCTATCAGTTCAAAAACTTGGAACGCCCAGTGCAGAGGTCCCCCTGTGTGATTTTGTACAAATATTCAAAACAAACAAATAAACTTGCAGTTTGTATTACTTTCACCATACGTAACAAACTGTTTTGCAGATTATTCAGGTTTACATTAGAGCTATTTCTTTCTCGAATAGTGCAGAAATAACAAACAAAGAAATATCTACTTGTTTTGTTTCTCAAAAGCACAAAACGTGGTTGCATCTATAAGTAGAACTTGGCTTATATTGTTTATTTGAATACATGTGATTGTATACAGTTACAATTATCGTTGTTATTTAGATTACGAGAAAGAAAATTACTCAAACTTACATTTTTGAACCATTTTCAACATTTATTTATAAAATGGGCCACAGCTTATATAACTTCTAGATTACAGACGAAGAAAATGATCGTGTTTGTTATCGTTATGTGGACCGGACTTTATATTATTTTTTCCAAATAAAAACTGCCAGTGATATAAATTGTTAAAATAAAGGTGCAAGAAGTGGTAAAAGTAAAATAACATATCCACTAAAGGTCCAGATGATGACACACGC